TTCCCTCCGGATTTCCTGGCCCAGCGCAGGCTCTCCGCTTGGAGATGCAGGTAAAGCGCTTCGAGCTCTTCCGAGAGGCCCTGTTTGAGGAGCACACGAGCGTGGCTTTGCACACGCCGCGGTTGGGAGGACGTGAGGGACTTAGTGGAGCTCACGGTCGACCGGATGGACGTCTACCACCTCGCCACTTGGCAAGAGAGCAAGAGAGAGAAATCCACGCGGCTCCGGGGCTCCGGCTCCGCAGAGGTTGGTGCCCTCTTTTTGGAGTTCTGCATCGTTCTCTTCTGCGAGGGTCGAGTGCAGGCCAGGGCCAGAGGGGTCGCCACTGAAATTGAGGGGCGGACCTTTCAGGCATCGGCTCCTCCTTTCTTGCTCTCGCTCTTCCTCCTCTCCAACGCCTGCGCCTTCATCTACCTGCTCCTGGCGGTCTGGCTTTCCATGCATGCTGGGCTCCCTGAACTCCCTGGGCTTCCTCTCTCGGGCCCAGTCAAGTCGGAGTTTCTTGCGTGGATCCTGCTGAGGCCTCGATCGCATCGCACAGCTTCGGGGTCCGCCTGCCAGCTCCCTGGAGACCAAAACTAAGAGTGGCACGGTGCCCAACACTCTCACGGAAGACGCAGAGAAAGTGCGGCGGAGGCTCACGCGCTTCGTGCGCCTGCCGATCCCTTCCATGAAGCAGATCGCCGGTCTGAGGAGCCGAGCCGACGAGCCATGCAACGGCGCGCGGATCCGCCGTCGGGCGTCGGATCTCCTCGATGTTTTCTTTCTTGGCACTTTGGCCCGCGTTCCTTCGACGCAACTGGACTGGATGTGATCGCAAGTCCGCCCACGCGAACATATGGGGTGCCGGCTACCCGTCATGCGCTTCGACCGTCGGGATATCAGGGCTGCATGTCAGAAGGCCGACAGTTGCACAAGGCAGGTCCTGGTCCTGGTGCGCCGAGGGACTGGCAGCAAAACCCAAAAACTTGTGCACCGGCCAACTCTTTCGTCATGCAGAGCAGCGGCTGCTTATCCTGATCGCCCAAAAGAACAGCTTGATGCCCGGAAGTAGCTCGGATAGGTCTGCACGAGGGACAAGGGTGAAGAAGTCATGATGCGACGTCGGGGAGTAAGATGGAGCCGTGACGGCTCATGCACCGCAAGACGCAAGTGGCAGGAGCAACTTGAAGGACTACGAGCGACAAGGCGTCGCCAATCTGCTCCGCCTGCCCTTCCAGGAAAGGCGGAGGGAGGAGGGGAGCCGAGAGCGGCAGATAGCGGCAGCTGGAAGTCGCGCCGCCGCGCCGCGAGGACCAGCAGGAGTGGCAGCAGGTGCCTGCTTCAGCCTTTTCCGGAGTGGCTTGCAGAGGGGCAAGAAGTATACTCTGCCGAGGTGCACGGCGCAGACCCTCCTGAGCCTTTGCCCTAGGCCCGGCTTAGCAAAGCGAGCGAAGGCAAGTGGTGCTAAGGCGGCCGAAGGAGGAATCGTGGAAAGACACCCCCACGCCCTTGGCGCCGCCCGCAACGTTCGCGCCCCAAAGTTCAGTCTGCGCTCAGCTCGCGCTCATCGCGGGAAGCTTTTGGAGGCGGGAGAGGCGTGAGGTGCCGGAGCTCTCCAGCGGGGGTGGCCAGACGAGCTCGAACTTCGCCGCCGGAGCCCCGACAAACGGCTCCCAGGCCGGAAGTGGGGGGGGGGGCCTGCCCCGAGGCTCCAGCAGCGACCACCCTGGGAAAGCCGATTCCTCGAAGAGCAAAAGTGTTACCAGATTTTGGGATTGGAGACGTGGAGACGTTTGGCTTCCTTCTTCGAGCCGAGGCCTGCAGATGCACAGGCAGGGAAATGTCGAAAAGGGCCTGTGCATCTGCGGGTTTTGAAGCCATGTGGTGCTCCTCCACAGGCTTCTGGGATGTCCTCGTCCTCGAGCCTCACCTCAGGCGCGGACGATACTTGCTGAAGTCGGGCAGTGAGCACGTCGCAAGGCCAGAATCTCTTGCCGGAGAGGGAAGAGACGGTCGTTGGCGGTGAGGAGAGAGAAGCGAGTGAGTCGAGTGAGTCGAGTGAGTAGAGAGCCTGGGGCCCATTGGGGCCCATTGGGCGTGTCTGCACTCTGCACTCAGCCGCAGGATTTGCTGTCCTGTTCGAGGGGAGCACAGCCCGAGCGTGGGGTTCTCGCCTTGCCCACCTTCTGTCTTGCCGCTTTTAACGCCTCACTGCAGGTCACGTGCAGCTGTTTCGACAGCTGCAGTCCGGCCGACACGGCTTGGAAGAGAGATCAAGAGAAAAGAGATATCCGCGAGGCGTTGCGGCATATGGCGGCTTTTGAACCCGAATTCTTGCATGAAGCGAACGTGGTTGCCAGGTCCAAGTGGCAGTGTTATGATGCGTACTGCAGGGTCTGCATGGGTTTGGGTCCGCGACCCGGGGAGAACATCTCCCCGCCCTTCGCGATCTGCGCTTCGCTCCGTTGAGTGCTGAGGTGTGAACCAAATCCTGCAAGGCTTGAGCTATTACTGCATCTGTGCAAGCCTCAGTCCTTCGTCCTTTTCACAAGCGAGCCGGAGCCGACCGGAGCCGACCTGAGGTCACACCTTGGTAGAGAACCATTCTCCCACGACGGGTTATGCCCTGGTAACCCTTTTTCAGTGGATCCGGCTCTCGCTTAAGCGACTCGCTTGGACCGGCTCGACTCGCAGAGGCCATCGCTTCGACTCTTCTTGGGTCTGCCAGGAGCACGACCATTGCCTTGGCCGTCCTCGACCTGGCGCGTCAAAAAGAGAGGGAGAGGGGAGATTGCCGGAATTGGCAGGGGAGACAGCTTCTGCTTTTGGCAGGCGGGGCTGAGGAGGCGCGAGATCCTGGCAGTGCAGGCCGGGCCATGCCGGGCCGTGCTGGGTGTAGCCGTGTAGCCAGTGTAGCCTCAGCTTCGCTTCTTTTCAGGTGGTGGGCATCATGCCCTGCCTCCTGACAGCCTGGGGCGTTGCGCACGGCCACCGCAGCTCAGAGATAATCTCTGCTGTGCGCAATTCCTACAGCTTCTTCCTACCCTTGCTGAGGTATCGAGGGTGGTGTGCTGGACCCTGCGCAGACGCCGGCTGCTCTGGCCATTGCTTGAAGGATTAGCAGCAGAGTATGTCTGTTTTGCGTTCAGGTACATGCTTTCGCCACTGAGCTTCCTTTGCCAGGCCTCATGACAGCCCCATGCAGATTGCAATTGGGTGGGACTGTTCTGCAGGTGCTTTGGTTGGAGCTGTGGCTGCGTGTTGCAGCTCCTCACGGCGATGATCAAGCAAAGCGGCTTGGCGCAGTGGCGAGGGGCGCAGGGCCGTTTCACTGCAGCTCCATGTGGGCTGCCTGTCCCACTCCGAGGTTGCCACGGCGATTTCGCCAGGTGGGTCGTGTGTGACTGCAAAGAGCGTGTCCTTGCATCGGTTCGCAGGTGCTCTTCCTAGACGTCTTTGGAGACTCCTCCGGTTCTTCGCTCTGCTTCGCTTATCGCAGCTTCATTGCAGTCTTGTAGTCGCAGGCTGGGACCCGCACGATCGCGACAACAACTGCGAGGCCCGGCGCAAGGGTAGCCGCCTGGGCCCGAGCAGCTCGGCTCTTCCTCTTCCCGCTTTAAAGCGAGGACGATATGATCGAGGGCGAGATGTTTAAGCAGCTGGGCGTCAAGGAAGAGAAGGACGCGGACGAAGAGGCTGAAGAGGCCCAGTTGCAGCTCCCTACCCCAACGCCATCACGCCTACCGCGTTTATGCCCCCGAATAGCGAGGGACAGACGGACAACACATAAACACACAAGAGGGAGCAGAACACGCCACAGACCATGGATTGAAGCGTGAAGCAGCATCAGTGTCAAGGGAAGCCAGCAGGAATGGTCCGAATGCGTTGATCAACTTCTGCAGCAGCAGACAAGGGTACATTGGGCACTTCAATTCGGATGACTCTGACAGGAGTATTGTCAACTCTTCTTGTCGAAGGTTGGAATAAAGTCAAGACGGAGAAATGGGATCTGCCCCGGTGTATTGTCAAGAGATCTAGATGCCGAGGTATTGTCAAAAGCCTTTTCAGAAGGATAATAAACGAGCGTTCTGGATACAGGTTTACAGAACCAACGATTCGGGCCGGGAGCCGCATTGTCCGCCGTGGCTGTAGCTTCCAGAATCTTGTATCTCAACGTGACAATACACCGGGGCGGAGCCATCCGAATGTATCGTCTCGTTTTCTTCCAACCGTCGTGTATCTATCTAGAACTCTTGACATGACTTCAGCAGCATATTGAGTTTGGGTGTGTCATTACTGCATTCCGTTTAAGGCCACCGGTGTCTTCCTGAATAACCGTGTCCGAGTAGCGTCGTTCCGTATTTGTTCCAAATCAAAGATGCTCATGCTTCTAGCGTCGGCAAGATCCGAAGATATAGAAATGCCCAAAGATGTTACATGCTGCTGTTTCTTGACTGAGCTAGAGAAGCCTGCTTAAGATTGTTTTGACAGGCTTTGCTCGCGGCAGCCCAGAGGGCTGCTTCACAGCTGACCATGGCCCAGTGGCTCGGGAGACAAAGTCTTGGGGCTGACAGCTGATGAACCAAGGGTACACGGTACTCGTACTGGCACAGAAAGAATTACTTCGAGGGGCATGTTCCACAGCCTTCGAACTTGTCAGGTGTGCTGGCAGACGGTGGAACGCAGCACCTTCCTGGGCATTGTCGAAGCAGCAGTCGAAGGAGCCAGAGATGAACCAAGATCCCCACGCACTCGTCCGTTGGGAGAGGAGCTGGATGATGTGCGGGACCAGCTCAAGTGCCCTGACTGCTTGGTTCTGTGGTCGGGCGCTGTCGCCTTCGTTGCATCTTTGGCAGGAACTGGGGCAGCACCATCTACACAGAGCTAGAGCGGTGCTGTCGCTTGAGAGGGTCCCCCAAGCCTCTTGCAACTCTTGCGTCTTGATCTTCCTTTTTTGGGGCGCTGCGCAACAGGATTCCTGAAGCGCTCCGCAACCTGGAACGGGATCTTCGCCCTTGGCCTGCTGCCAAGCTGCCGAGCGGTGCCAAGGGTCGCCCACTGGCAGAATGTGCGATCGTCGTGCTCGTATGTCGATGGCTCGAAGTCAAAGGCCGCGCTGCCCTGTTGCCGCTAGGATCTTCATCCTCAGACTCTTAGAACATGGCCCAGCTGTTCCTTCGATGCTGGCGGTCACCTTGCCGGCTAAAGTCCAAACCATACTCCCTGGTCTGTAATTATCCCAAAAACCCAACCCTAAACCCGAATCCTAAACCCTAAACCTCAAACCCTCAAGCCCTGAACCTGTATGGGTTTGAGAAATTTTCGTCTGTTTTGCAGTCCGTGGTGACAGTCCTCACGTCTTTTCCTGTATGTAGTACATGAATCGACTGCACATGCGAAGTTGCATGAAGAGTCTTGCTTTTACAACCGTACTTTCGCAGACGTCTTGAGCTCGAAGCGAGAAAATCGGCTAGCTGTTTGTGACGGACACTCACCAACTGAACTCCAGCTTCTAGTTGGTAGCGGAGCAGTTGAGGACGTTCACTTAGGTGTCTCACCCCCGAGAGCTGTCTGTCCGGGGACCGTAGGGGAAGTAGTGATAGTTGTGGAGCAAAGGCCCCTGCTATCTTCGCCATGTCAGTCGCAGGACTTCGCTACCAACCGAACCACTGGTCTCAGAACCTAGTGCCTGCAGCGGCTCATTCATATATGATGGGACCGCGCCAGGTTTCCACGACTGGCAATTCCGGACACAGATCCGAGTGCTCCAGCACTGCGAAAACCAACGTCGCGAGGCCTCGAAGGATCTGCGAGCCGCCGCATCGGCCAGATCCAAGAGCGATTCGCCCAGGAAGTGGCGTGGCAAGGCCAGTCAAGGGAGCAGTGTCCACCCCACAGAGGGTGAGTCCAGCAGCGGAGTACCCACTAGTCCTTCGAGCGCGAGAAGGACCAAGCCTGCATCCGAGCCCGATGAAGATGATGGTGCAGAGTCAATGCCTCACCCGAGCCAGATCCAGGGTGATGAGGATGAGCCGGACACTGAGCCGGCGATGCTGACCATGAAGGACATTAAGGATTCAGATCTGGACATGTCCGAATGCGTGCAGAAGGTACTCGAAGGACTACGTGCCGATGCCTTCTGCATTGCTCGGGACATAGTTCTCGAACGTTTGTTGCGGTACGATGGGATAGACCATCTCGTTGAAGAAATCAGGCGCCAGGCCTTCCCGCTACAGAGCGAAGAGGCCTCAGAGCTTTTCCGTCAGGGACAGCTCCTGACGGGCCCTCTCGCGAAACAGCCCGGCGAGCCAATGTTATCGTACATAGCCCGCCGAAAGCGGTGGTGGTCGACCCTTCTTATTCTTTCCTAGCTGGATCCCGATATCCGCCTCTCCGAGGCGATGCGGGCTAATCTCCTTGTTGAGCTTTCGGGGCTGGAAAGAACCGAACAGTTAATGGTCAAACCCGCCGCCCGAACACATAGTGTTGAGGAGTACGCACGCGTCCTTGTGCAGCACCACTCAGTGGTGCACATGAAAGAGCGCCTTCTGACACAGAAGGATCCCAATGGCCGGCTAGCTGTTCGTGAACGGACACTCACCAACTGAACTCCAGCTTCTAAGGGTTGCTCCCGCCTCTTTCCGGCTGTGAGACGCTTGACCGTCTGTGTGTTTTCGGGGTTCGGGAATTTAAGGATTAGGGGTTTGGGGTTGAAGGGGCTGTTGAGGTGTAGCCGGGAGGAACATGCAGGGGCCCCGTGACTTTCCCTCCCAAGCTTTGAGGGTGATTTTAAGAGACAATAAGCAGCGAGGCCGAGGCTCCCGCAGAGGCGGGTGCTAAGTTGTTCGGAGGACCTCCCCCGAGAAGAGCCGAGGCTACCTCGACCCGGGGGTCCAAGCACAGCCTGGGTCATCGATTCAAGTTTCTGGGCAAATTGTGCCGCTGCCTCGTCCGAGGCTTGCCGGCCCTCAAAGCCTCGTAGCCACGTCCAAGATCGACGCCCAACTTGCATTTGCACTTGCAGTTGCGTGACCGCATGAGTAAAAGTCAGGATCTTGTGTCGGCGCTCAGCACGATTGTGCTATAGCGGCACATATCACAACAGAAGTTGCGCGCGCAGTGTTAAACCAAATCATGTAGAGGCTCAGTGCTCCACCCTTATGGTGAAGCTGTGCATGGTACGAAACTCTTGCAGAGACTTCCACGCACAAACACTTGCAGGGATAAGATTCGAGCTCCTGCGGCTAGGGAGAAGAAGCAGATCCTCCGCGAGCTAATCCGGTGTGGCTAGATCGCGTTCTCCGTTGTGGGGGATATCTCCAAGGCGCACAGGAGATATATAAACACCAGGAGTGGGAGCATGGCTACATGGGCTGCCAGATCGACACGGAGGAGACGGTTCCCGGCGACCCGGATAGCCAGATCGTCCACGTGAACGCTGTCGCCAGCTCGTTACTGATAGCCGCAGGGTTACGGGCGACCCACCACCTTTTGGGCCCCGGCTATCCCATCGACCTCCTGCCGATGACCGGGGAGGAAAGGGATTCCCCTGAGTTACCTTCCCTTTTAAGTGGGCGAAGACTCGAGGTGGCTCTAGGGAGTGACCAGGGTTCCTCTTGGAGCTTCAGCTTGATAGGCCAGGTGCACTGTAGTCGCTCCTCTCTACCCTACGCCAGGGATCCTTGGTTGATGAGACGCTTCTGATTCTGCCCCTCGCCCCTGGCCGGTTCCGGTTCGCTATGCTGTTGGAGATCTATCCCTTCTACTGCCGGCCGCTTGCTGAGCTTCACCCAGGCCAACGACGACGCCATGTAGCCGGAGGTCTCTCCACCACGTCTCTGGCCTCTCTTGCTTTCTTGTATCCACAAGTAGATCGAGTCGATGCACTCGTGGTGGCCAAAGCCCAATTCTCCAGCAACTTGCTGCCCTACTTCCTCTGCGTCCTCTAGGTCGAGGAACACCGAAGCCCCGCGATACCAAATGCTCATGGCATTTATCCAGCACCGCTCGCTTCTGTTCAAGAGCACTATCCCTCAAGGACGGAAGCTCAATCGGCCTTCCTATCCCCGCGAGGACCGCTTCAAGCCTCTCGCCCAGGTCGTCCGGGACGACCGTAGGTTGGACGGACGGACTATCCGGCTGCTCGCCCTCGGGACGAGCCGGAACCACTGTAGTCGCCGAAGAACTAGGGCTCGCCGTTCTTGAAGCAGCCGAGGGGGTCCGAGGCGAGGCTGCCATTCTCGCTTGGCTGTTAGCCAAGTACCCCTTCCTCACCCCTCTACTTCAAATTTACACCCCCTGAAGAGGGGGACTTTTATCCAGAATGGCCACGGAATTCGTAGCCATTCCAAGTCACAGCTATCTCAGCTCTGCATGTCAGAGGCAACTCTCCTGCAAGCGACGATAGCAAACGAAACTTCGTTTCTGGCGAAGCTACCTTCAATATAGCTTCGAGTAGGTATAGGTAAGCTAGCACACATAGTCTGTCGTACCTCGTCACGAGGTACGGAAAGATTTCAGGTGCAGTATGAGTACCATTCTTGCGGCGGCACTCGACGCTGTTGGCGAAAAGGTTTCTGCTGTCGAGCTCGCTCCAGCTCGATATTCTCGCGCAACACTTCTGCATCTGCGCTTTCAATGGCTGTCGCGGCACCTCCAGTCATAGACTTCTCTCAAGTCCATGCGCTTCTCTCCTCCGCTCGCATTGGCTTCCAAGAATTCCTCGATTGCTTCAATTTTACTAAGTCGGTTGAGTTCTTCAACTGCGGCTTCCTGATCCAACACATCAAGTTCTTCAGGACTTAGTTCGGGAGGTCTTCCTCCTTGGTCGTTCTTAGGAGTGTCTTCCATCTCTTCTTCCATGCGACCTTCATACTCTACGTCTTCTCCTTCTACATCTTCATGTTCATCCCAATGAAATAGATCTTCTTCCCGAGAGACCCTGCCTGCGAAAAGCGGTGGATACATGGTGATGAAGGGTCTGCTTGGTCCTCTCGAGACTTCTTGGGCTGTGACTCTTGTGCTTGTCCTTCTTCAACAGGGCGTTTACGAAATACATCCAGCATAGTGTCGTGACTTACTAGTGCTTCCTCTCCTAGAGGTGCATCTGCCGTACCTGAGCTTGATGAACCACTCGAATGAGAATTCGATGAGCTAGCCCTGCCTCCGCTTGAGGCTGACAAGTTTGTGTCCAACATGTCCAACACTTGTTCGATCTGTTCTCCTTGTGAGTGCCCTCGATCGTCCTCACGAACTACTGGTTCTTGTGCTGTTGCCTCTTCAGCAAAGCTCGCTATTCCATCCTCTACACGATGCATATCCTGAGCATTCTTTCCTAGGTAGTTACCACCAATCCAGTTTGCTGTTCCTTTCGTCTCTGGCTTCTTCAACGCAAACACATACTCGCTGAGCAGATTCCGACCAATGCTGGGGTGTCCTCTTGCAGGAACAGAAAGTCCAACTGAATAATGGGATATGGTACTCCCACTGACTCTTAACTCTTTGCTTCAACGCATGACTCACACGAATGAGCAAACGTAATGTGTGTTGCTTCATGTGCTTTTCGTTCCTCCTCTGAGGGCGTATACGGTTGAGCTTCTACTCTAACCTTCTCCTTCTCCTCACTTTGTACCTTCTGGGCTGATTTCTGCATTTCCAGTTCCGATAACGGATTTCCGTCTCCGTCATAGGTTGGTCCTAAGACTCCTTCGCTCCTTCCTGGGGCGATGTTCACCGGTACGAACGTCGTGCTCAATTCCTCGAAAACTCTATGTTCCGGTTTTGCAAAGGTGTGTCTGGTCCACTTGCAATCATCACTACCTTGAAGTCACTACAGAACGTGAAAAAATTCCACTCGTTGCGTGAAGGATTGTACAAATTCTCTTTGCTGCTCCATGACATTCCGGAATACCAACACTGTGGCTCTTCACTGCGTTGTAGTCTGAATACAACTCGACTATCGACCATTCACTTCCTCCTCCTGCAATCATCGCCGTTCTGTACTTCCATCCTGGAAAAG